GTGGGGGAACCCCGAAAACATGGCTCGTACCAAGTGGGCATTTCTTCATGCCACTTTCTCAACCCAAACTCAAACAAAAGCGATGACACAGGCCTTCGCTTGCTTTCTGACCTGCTAAAAGTTTTTTTAACTTTTAGTGGCTTGGAAAACCCAACAGGGATCCTTACATTATACACCTGAACATTGCCTTGTAAATGGTGGTTTCCCTTTATTTTGGTGGAAAAAACAACATGTTTCAAATGGTTGCAAAATGGAGACCTTTTAAGGAGCCCTGCCCAATTAGTTGGCAAAAGTTCTCAAGTCCTAACATCCCTTGGCAAAGTGCACCACCGGCCTTCGGGGAATTCCCCCCGAGTCCTTTAGGTTCCGACCCGGGTACGGCCTGCGGCGGCCTGTGCAAACAAACCCCGATCTGAGGTTCCAAAGCCTCCGCAAAAAGAGTCAAGGCAAACCGGAGCTCTGGGAAGCAAATATGTGTATATGTATGTATGTATATATATATATGTATATATATATACGTATATGTATATATGTATATATATGTATATATACACATATGTGTGATTGAACATGATCTCCTCAAAAAGGATGCTTTCCCTTTGAATGCCCTTGAAACAAAGAAACACGGGGTTCTCCGACCGGCACACGCTTCGTCTCCTGGTTGTTTTTGCCAAAATAATCTGAAAAAAAGGATTCGTGGACACCCATTTGCAACTGCCCGGCATTGTCGCTCAACTCATCAGGCTGCAAGAAGTCCGCGTCACAGGTCTGTCCGAGAACCGCCCCTCTCCGAAGTTGGATCCTGAACACAAATGACTGATTTCCGTCGCGAAGCCTCATGATACGACCTGCAAATGCTCAACATCAAAGATGTACCAGTCCTGTTTCTTCACTGAAATTCACCGGTCTAGGTTTATCCTAAGCGTACCTTGGCAGTAAAGTGGAAGCACAACGAAAGGGCGCCGAACGCAAGTGAGAATTCCTGGAGTAGACGATAGCCAGTGTATCCATTTACCTTAGATAGGTACGTAACCAAGGGAACCCTACTTCAATCACTAGAAGGAGAACAAATGGTTAGGACTAACTGGATCAACCTTAGAATTCCAATGAACATGTGTCCACGAGCCGAAGTGGACAGTGAAAGTCTCGCTATCCAAGCCACGACTTCCCGACAAAGACACATGTGGACATGTAGCCAAAACATAGCACCTCTTGCCACAACGCAAGACAATCAGTGTTCAATTATTGTTCACAACCAAGGGCATCCTTTGTCCGGGAAAGGTGAGAGGTGCAAAGCGACCCTTGGCAACGGATGGCTGCCGAAGCTGTGACAGGAGGGCGTTGTGCATGTTGACGATGCCAATCGCGATGAATAAGGCTTCAGCTGCAGAAAGGAGGCCTCACGCAAAAAGGGTCCCTGCTGGCAATTGGCCAAGTACAACAGGTCTGATCGTCCCAAGTGTGCGGCTTTTGAGTATGTGCCTAGAGGTAGACTCGGTAGACAAAGCGTCTATTGCACGCTTCATGTTGTGTCACCGCAAGTATCAACAACGTATCCAAGTCCACCGAGCATTGACCGAGCGTGCCAGAGAGTCAACTCCCAGATTCCCTCGGACTGCCTGAGTAGAGGTGGTGGGCCTCAGCAAAAGCAACGCTCAAGGGATGATATGGCAGCAAACAAACCACTTCCAATCACAGCATTGTCCTTGGCCCCTTTTCGGGGAAATCAAGGGAACTCCTGTAAACGTAGAAACTCTTCAAGGAGCTATCTTTACTTCCCTGATCGTGTCTAAGGGGATGCCAGGAAGTCCAACCCTCGCAATAGGGCATCCACCCACCGCTTCCAACCACGCAACCCTTGATTCAGTGGAAAACTGCAACGTGCCCTTGCCTCAACATCTTGAATGAAGGAGTCAGAGTCAATGTCCCCCAGTGGATGACGTGTTGGACACACCTACAGCATATTGCAAAGTGTCAAAAGGGGCCAAGCAGCTTGTTGAAACAACATGCAAGCCAACTAAAGGCAGAGTTTTGCCAGAGCCAACGTGCTGTCGAGAAGGATGAGTGCTAGTGGGGAGTCCAACATGTTCAAGCTCTGTGGTTGGAGTGGCTTGCCGCAACCTCCCACTCTCTTGAGAAAAATCCATCTCAACCAGACCATGTTCTTGCTCAAATGGGTTGGGCAATCATGACCCATAATCCCTGAAATCCGCTGGAACTATCCAAAGTCCTCTGGTCGCCGGGTTGTTCAAAATGGGGGAATCCCTAATCCTAGTCCACAATGGGATATCACTACAACAAGGGGAACCATTGCTATCTGGCACAAATATTCAGGATGGACATTGAACAGCCGGCAGATTTCTCATTCATCATCATGAATCAATAAGTCTCGAAAGTGGCTTTCATCGATGGATTGATGGTTCAACCCGGGTCTGCAAGTGTTTACGAGAAAATCCATAATGAGCAAGGGTACACCGCTACAAGGGAAGACATGTTCATCTGACGTAGGGGTTCAACCAGCCCATCCGGTGCCTCTAATTACCTAGGTCAACCAGTAGAGAGGTTACAATAAGGGTAGCCTTGTTCCTGTAGACTATTTTAGTAGGGGAACAGGGATCCTGACATTATACGCCTGAACATTGCCTTCTAAATTGTGTGGTTTCCCTTTATTTGGGTGTTGAACAAAAAAGCAACATGCAACTCAAATGGTTGCAAAATGGAGATTTCTTTTAAGGAGCCCTGGGGAACCCTCACAACCAAAAAGGGAACGGTAGAGAAGGACACCTAGCCAGGCCCAGGCCCAGTCAGGTGCCGCCGAGGCGCGGAGCAGTGGTCTGGCAAAGGCTCGCGCTCGGGGCGAAAAAAAACAAAAAAACCGTGGAGGCACTGGGTGTCCAATTTTAGGTGGGAAATAGATGGGGTTTTGCTGGTAGATGATCTTGCACCACCAGTGGTTTAATGGAAAACCTAACATCCAAGCAAAAAGTTAAGGTCCTTTTAGGTTGGAAATAGATTCCTATACGGCAGAGAGTTGGGTCTTTGGGGATCCTCTAGCGTCCTAGCAAGGCTGTTTTGAGCAACACCCACATCGGAAACCCTTTCCAAGTGAGACTTCGGGAAATAGATGAGTTTCCCTGGTAGATGAAAAACCACCAGGTCAACCAGGAATCGATCGCCATCTATTTGCCCTATCCAAAACAACCAAAAAGGACACCTATGCCCGTGGGATTAAGTATCCATTGGGGCCTTGAGGGGATGGGACGTTCAACCGGTTGAATCAGCTTCCCTCAAAGCGGCCCTTCTTGGAGCGAGAGAGGAGGTGTGGTTTCCCGTTTACCCTCTAGTTGCAAGAGCCAGGGTTCCAAATCCGCAAATGATTCAAAACCAAGGGGTACCTGGGGTTGGGCACCAAAAAGAGCCAAACACCACTTTAACAGTGCTCTTTGAGTTGGGTCACAGTCCTCCCCCCGCCCCCGCCCCCAGCCCGCATTTGGGGTAGAGAAGCCACCCAAGGGAGAAGTACTCCACCTACAGACTGCTTAAAGAGCAGTCATTTGAGAACGGTCAAGGGACCACCTAGACACTCCCCTAAAAAAGAAAGGAAACAAACGAAAAACACGTTTTTCCTCGACACTCCAACCAACATTAATTAGCTAAGCTTCCTCCTTGACTTTGGATCATAGACGGTGCGAATGTGCGTGTGTCTAGCAATAGGAAACCTCTCGTTGGATGACTTTAGACGGAAACCAAAAAGGAAAGCAGCACCTGAAGGTGTCCAAACTTTGAGTGCCATAGCAGCCCTGGTACGTTGGCAAAGGATTTCTGGCCGAGTTTCAATGGCCGGCCACAAGAAAATTAGGGGAAACAGCTTTACAAGGAGCCTTCAACATGGGTGAATTGAGTCGACTTGGCGGTAGTTTGCAAGGTGGTATGCAGCTGGCTTCATCTGAACACATGAGCTATATGCGACCAACAGCTGGAGCGGGATTGTGGGGTACGGTAAACAACCAAGTTGCCCCTTGATCGTGGGGCCCCCCTACTTTCTTTGGCCCACTTGACACGATAGGTACACATCACTGCGGGTTTTACTGGGGGGCCCTGGCTCGCCCACTCTGCGCGCCTGTGAGGCCGGTCGAGGCAAGGATCGCAAGGAGCTTGGCTGGCTGGTTGGGTCAGCGTGTGGCGGTTGAGGTTGTGGCTGAGGCTGAGGCTGCGGAGGTTGCTGGTACTGTTGGTACTGCTGGTACTGCTGGTACGGCTGATTCTGGTACTGCTGGTGCTGCTGCTGGTGCTGCTGGTACTGCTGCTGCTGGTGCTGCTGCTGTTGTTGCTGCTGGTACTGCTGCTGCTGCTGCTGTTGTTGCTGCTGCTGTAGCTGTTGCTGGTACCTGAGTATCGCAAGGCAAGTAGCAAACAGATTGTAAACACCCAGCTTGCGAGGCCCTAGACCCGGCGGAAGGTACTTTCCACAATTTGGCAGCGTCTGAGTTCGGCCTCAAGGGGAAGCTTTTAAACCCCTGAAAGCGAATTTGCGCCTGCACGAAGCAAAGCTCTCAAGCTTGGGTCGGGCTTCAGCAGGCTGAGGTTTGATATTGGGTTTTTGTCAATGGAGCGCACTTGGGGAAAAAGAACAGTGCGAGACTTCCCAAAAACACAACATACCCTCTAAACCTGACCAATCCCGCCACAGCTCTTGCACAAAGGAGCCAAGCACAAATTGGCACTTGCACAATCACAAAGTAACACAATTGTCGTACGAACAACCAGCAAGACTGTACTTGTGAAAAACGTTTTGGCAAATATATCAGTTCTCGTTTCGGGGAGGGGGGGGCTCGGTCTTTCAGCCGTTTTAACAGGGCTTTCACAGTGCAAATCACGCTTTTGGATCGCCGCACAAGTCCCCTTCATTGGTGAGTTGTCATTCAGATCCAATGCGCAGCAGTAATGAAATCACTGACAGTTGCAACCATAACCAATCTTCAATGGTTACATGATGGGAGTTAGACCTTGCGCATCAGTGATGTGTACACAGGTACACATCCCTATATGTATTGTGTGCTTCATGCGTCATCTCTGGTGATGCGCTGGATAAAGGCTCACAGATGTTCAATCATGATTCGACTCCCATCAAGCATCCCAAAGCGAGTGGACTATGGAGCTGTTCGTTCCTGCAGATAGTGCCTCATGTTTATTGGTTATTGAGGTTCTTGACAAGGGAAGCTGCAAGGAAACAAGCCATGTTGGGGGAGCTATATCAAAACACGCACGTACCAGTACCAGACATCCCAAGCAATCTTTCCGGGTCATTAGGTGGGGCGCCCCGTTGATTTTTGGGAGACTTGTGTGGGCTCCCCATGGCCTCCAAAAAAGCAACCATCAACTAGCAGTAAAAGTTGTCAGTTGCTCATCTAGGTCCTCCAGTAGAGAGGTTAGAATAAGGGTCCAACTTTTTCTGTAGTCTATTTTAGTAGGGGAACCCTCCCCAAAAAAGGGTAAAAGGGCACTACTGGGGGACCTAGTCATATGACCCTCTGGTCATGTTTGGGCTCTTTGCTCTCTCGAAGCCATTATTTGTATCACCGTTCTTTAAGCCATAAACTAAGTATCAGGGGTTTGTGGGTATACACAAACAGAGCTGTGAAAAATGACCACTTCTGTGATGCAATAAAAAGGGTTTGCCGAAGACGAATCCCCCATATGAGGAGGGAGATTCCCTTGTATCACAGAAGTGGGGGCAAACCCCATGATCCCACAACCCTGCACACACCACACAAACAGTGGCAAATCCTGAATATTCCATGTTGCAGCCAAGTTGCAGCTGCTGCTGGTACAGCTGCTGATAGTCCGCAGGCTGGTATTGCGCTTGCTGCCATTGGAACATTTGCTGTTGGTAGCCCGCGTAGTCGATACCCTGGGCTTTCGCGTCATCCATCTGTGGCCTCAGGTGCAGGTATCAGCTAACTGTCCAAAGGTCTTTTCCTCTACTCATCATCACCAAATATGAATGTACATATATATATATATACATATATTCACATACGAACCAACACAGCTAACCAGGCAATTGAAAGATTCATGACACGCAGGACCACGCGCCATCTACTTTCACCCTGATGTGGGTATGGGTCCAAATTAAACCACCGGGAGACCTCAGGTTTTAGTCCTTGTGTCCAGCACCAGGATTGCTTTTTTTGACCTACCCATGTGGCTGTGGGTCAAAACACTGCCCCATGGCCATGTTACCAGCTAGATTCGGTACCCTTTTTCTGCAGTCTATCTATTTCAGTAGGGGAACCCTCCCCCAACAAAAGGGTAAAGGGCACTAGTGGGGGACCTAGCCAGGGTTGCTATGTTTGACTCACCCACGTAGCAAATGCAAGCTGCACGCTTCGCAACGCGCTGCGGCGCCGGCTCCTCCGTCGCGGAGCCTGGCTGGATCTAAGCGAGCGAGAAACGTGGCTGCGGGCCCGCTTAGCAAATGCGCCAAGTACAAATACCCTCTCTCCCACTAACATGGCACCTGACAGGGGGGCCCTCCAAGAGGAAGCTGATCTTCCAGGTGCCTCCCCACAGGTGACAGGTTAGTGCGAGAGAGGGTGCCATTTGCATGGATCCTAGTGTTGTTGAACTAAAAAGACACGACATCTGGATCAAATTGCACATCTTGATCCTAGTGTTGTTGATATATATATATATATATATGTACCAGTCCCTGGGCCACGTACCCCCCCCCCAATGGTATGGCCTACCCACTTCCCCGCATCATCCGCATCTTGGGGATGATGCTGGCAATGCTGGGGATGCTGTCCAGCTTCGGTCCCAGACTCCCACATTGCAATGGGCCACATTTGGCAGCTTCACCTTGTACGCCTTGGCACCATCCGTGTGGAGCACCACATGCTTGTTCGACAGGAACTTCCGCCCGATCGGCAGCCACTCCCGCTTCCTGATCGGCCCTGGTCCAGGCGCTCGCTTCTTCGTGAGGCGCGGCTTGAGCTTAAACAGCCGCAAAGAGCTCGGGCGTCCCCTCTCCACAAGCCCTCCCCACTGCTCCCATTTCACCACCCGATCAGCCCGAACTGCATCAGGATCACCCTTACCCAAGTCCACCTCGTCAGCCTCCACATCCTTCCATTTCTGGGTGCCACCATAGGTGATGGACTTCTCTTTCTTCTGGACGTAGCGGGCCCTGGCGATATCGTTGTTGGCGTAGATCCTCTCCACTGCCTTGTGGTCGACATCCAAGACCAGGTGGGTAGCGTTCCGAGGTACACCAGTGACTGCACAGAACAAGATGGCGGCTTGTGTGGACAAAGAAGTAGTTGAGTTCCCGGCGCCAGCGTAGAAGATGGGGTGGAAGTCTTCGATGCGAATGCGAGCCTGGCACTTCTTTGCCCCACAGCGGTGCACCCACTGGCTTCGGTCCTTTCTGTACTCGAGCTTCCCCAAGACACCTTTCCCGCATTTGGGGCAGAGCTTCCCCTTCCACTCAGGAAGGATGCGGTCTTTCTTCAAGAGGTGGATCAGCCTGATGCCCTCCAAGGACAAGAAGTTCATGACCGATCTTCCCCACCTTTCCCTGTGAGGCCTGGACTTCATGGTCAGGGTGCCGTGGCGTACGTACGGAGTCTTGACCGCGTGAGCCTTCGTACTTGCTGGGCGCTTGTTGGCGCGCGCTTTGCCTCTCTTTGGCTCAGGCCAAGGCGCTTGACGCTTGACCGCATGCTTCATGACTTTTAGGCATGACGCTACAAAAACAAAGAGTGGCTACACTGACTCAGGGCCAAGATGCTGTCAGAATGAGCGTGCGCAGTGATGCAATACTTGGAGAGGCAAAAGCAGACAAGTAACAAATGCATCGGCCTTTTCGAACTTGCGCGCTTACAAAACTGCTTTCCTATCTGGCACCGCGTCTACTCAGCCTCATCACCACTGTTACGCTGAAGGTCACCACCGTGGTCAAAGACATCTTCCTCAGACGCCACGTCCATCTCCTCGATCTCGGTCTCAGCGGGGGAAAGCCGAAGCCGAAGCCTTGAGTTTCTTCTTGGGCGGACTCTCCAAGTCGATGACGGTGAGGTGCATGGCCGACAACTTACGGGCGAACACGTTCGGCTCCTTTTTGATGAGTGCAGGCGCTGGAGGAGCGGAAAGTGCTGAAGTAGAGGATGGAGCAGGCTCTGCAGGAAGGGGCTGTGGCTGCTGATCAGGAACTCGCACCTGGAGGATGGTATTTGGTCCGCTGGATCCAAACAGCCTCCGCGATGCCGAGTAATCGATTTCCACTGGCCTTGGCGGCAGGTCACGACCCTTGTTCTCCATGATCGACGTCATCCAGGCTTGTTCCCAGCGAAGATGAAGGTCCAAGTCGGCCGGCATGCTGCGATCACCCTTGCGGTACTGCATGTACTTCAAGCCTCCTGAGCTGCGCAACAAAGACTTACTTTCATCGAGGCGCTTGCGTTCGACCCTCACCTCTTTCTCACTAGGAAGACGCCAGTAGAGGAAGTCGTTCGTGATGAGCAAGACACACGTGCGCTTCATGACCGCCATGACGTCAGAGACTGACGAACCCTTCATCCACGCCGGCTCAACCATCTGCATGAACTGCTGGTGAGAAATGGAACACCCTGCGTTCTCGAAGGAGGGCTCTGCGGCGAGATCGATGTCGTTGGACATATAAAAACGCAGCTGGCCCTGCGGGAACTTTGCGGCGCCCCACCTTTCTTTTGTGAGGACCGTGTTGCCCACGTCGCAGAAGCCCTTCAACTTCCTCATGGGCTGTTCAGCCAGTGAGCCATCGTCAAAGATATCCGGACGATCTTGGCGACCGGCTTCACCTCTGAAGAAGTCGAACTCGCAGGCCTCGCGGAAGCCGGGCTCGTTCTTTGAGTTCAGCTTTTGAACCCAGTAGCGTGACATGGCCATCGCAATGGTGCGCCCAAGAGGCGTCTTGCCTACGTTGGGGACCCCATGCATGCCGCAGGTTTTGTCCGTGAAGCAAGGAAAGATTTCCTCCAACACAGTCAAAACCGAGGGCTCCACATCCACGAGCGGAGGGGGAAGTCATAGACAGGGAGCGCCAAGACGCCGTCGTTCATGAGGTTCCGCAGAGCTTCTTTGATGAGCCGCTCCGGCCAAGTCTGAATGGGACTCTCGTCTCAGATGAACTGCTTCGAGATCCATCTCAGCTGCGTGTTGCTGTGGTGGGTTCTAGGCCCATGTGCCTCGATGAAGTCGAAGCCTTGGTCGATGTTCTCTTCTGTGAGGCCCTGGAAGAAGTTGTTGTTTTTGTTGTCGGCCTGCATGCCACCGTTGCCACTTGCCTGAAGAGCAAAGGACTGGACCTGGAAGCCACCCATCTTCTCCAGCATGTACTGGATGGCCTTCTTGGTATTCTTGGCATTGGCTTGCCAGGAAACGGTATGAACTTCCCCATGACAAAGGGTGGAGACGAACTCAGCCTTAACTTGATCCGGGAAGATGATGTGCTTCAGGAGGAAGTGCTGCGCATTAGGAAGAGGAAGAACAACAAGTTGAAGACCATATGACATACCAGGAGAAGTCTTCAAGCGAAAGGGCGCTGGCATGTCCGCAAAGCGGCCATCCTTAGCCGCGCTGCTGACTTGAGATTGCAAAGTAGCATCGAAGGCTATAGGGCCAACAAAGTCGAAGAAGTGCTTTGCATTGCTCTTGTCCTTGGGATGATCAAGAGGAAGGTCAGTAGGCGAGACAGGACCACGAGGCAAGTCCACGACATTGGGCTTGGACAAGTTCTTGAGGAAGAGCGCGTTGGTGGCATTCAGGGCCGTTTCCAGAGAGATTTCACTGGCTTCTGACATCATTGCTACAAGAAAAAAAGAGATACTTTGAATGACCTGGTTTGAGCTTCTAGCAGCAGAGTAATATACAAAGGAAACTGTGTATAACATCAAAGAAAAATGTACATATATATATATATATATGCTCACCCCCTACTGTTGAAATTATCAGTTTTTCTAGACTGTACCAGTGAAAAGGTAGGCCCTGGGGGGGGGGTGTGAGCATATCTGTATATATATATATTTCTATGTATATATGTATATATATATGTATATTGAAAAAGCAAAAACGGACATCTGGACCAACTTGAAGATCTTGAACCCCTTGCTCTGCTGCGACTCCTTTTTTTGGTGAGCAAGCCCATGTGCCGACGCTTCGGAACGGACACCGTCTGGCAATTTGCGATTTGGGGGTTGAACCCACCAAATTCATGCTATTGATTACCCACATGCGAAAAGTTACCCATGGTCCTTTGGGGGCCCTAAATGAAATATTGATCAACTCGAACGGTATATACCGGTGAACTTGATCAATCCCCAGTACTTCCATTTGGTTAAGACCCCTGGCAAATGAAAATATTTCCAGTAGTCATAGATTCCCTTGAAAACCAACAGAGAAAAACATGTTCTTAAGCAACCGGAAGTTTACCGCATCTGTTCGACTGCTTCCGGTTCAGAGTCGCGCCTGGCAGCATGAAGCTCAGCTGCTGCGGCTGAAGACCATAGGCCTCAGACAGAATCAGGCAGCGCTGCCAAAGAAATCGGAAAAGGGCCCAACGGCAATCAATCAAGCAACCAAATCAATAACATCAAAAAAAAAACAATCCATCAGTCAGTCAGTCAATCAATCAATCAATCAATCAATCAATCAATCAATCAATCAATCAGTCAGTCAGTCAGTCAGTCAGTCAGACAGTCAGTCAGCAACCAAGCAACCAAGCAACCAAGCAACCAACCAAACAACCAAGCAACCAAGCAATCAAATCAAATCAAATCAAAATCAAATCAAACCAAACCAAATCAAATCAATTCAAAACAATCAATCAATCAATCGATCGATCGATCGATCAATCAATCAATCAATCAATCAATCAATCAATCAATCAATCAATCAATCAATCAATCAATCAATCAATCAATCAATCGCACCAAAGAAACAACGAATGAACGAAACAATCGATGAATCAAGAAATGAGTGAGTGAATGAATGATTCCAACAAGGACCAAAAGGATCATCTTTGAGTTGTGCCGTGGTCAAAATGCCGTCTCCGCCAAGCAATCAAATACTCAGTCAGTCAATCAATCAATCAATCAATCGATCGATCAAATCAATCAATCAATCAATCAATCAATCAATCAATCAATCAATCAATCAATCAATCAATCAATCAGTCAGTCAATCAGTCAATCAGTCAATGAATCAACCACTCAATCCAGCATTCATTCAATCAATCCAAACAAGCAAACAATCAACTCAAACCATCAAACCATCAAACCATCAAACCATCAATCAATCAATCAATCAATCAATCAATCAATCAATCAATCAATCAATCAATCAATCAATCAAGCAAGCAAGCAATCAATCAATCAATCAATCAAATCAATCAATCAATATCAAATCAATCAAATCAATCAATCAATCAATCAAATCAATCAAATCAATCGAACAATCAATTATTTCAATCAAGCCAAATCAAATCAATCAATCCAATCCAATCCAATCCAATTTGAATCCAATCCAATCCAATCCAATCACTCGATCACTCTGTCACTCAATCAATTCAATCAATCAAAACAATCAAACCAATCAAATAAAACATTTGAAACAATCAACATCAACACAATCAAATTAATCAAACAATACAATTGAAACAATCGAATCAAACCATCAAACCATCGATAATTCAATCAATATCAATATCAACGTCAATATCATCAAAGTCAGTATCAATATCAATATCAATCAATCAAATTCAGTTAATTAATCAATCAATCAAGCAATCAATCAACCCATCAAACAATCAAATAATCAATGAATCCATGAATCCATGAATCCATGAATCAATAGTTCGATGAATCAATCAATGAATCACTGAATCAATGAGTGAATGTACAATGAACCAAGGAACCCATGAATCAATGAATCAAAGAAGGAACCAATGATCGCACAAGCAAACACACAATCCGAAACAACAAATATCAATGATCAAGCCACCAGTCAAAGTACGCCGTGCAACAAGTCAAAGTTGTGCATCAACGCTTCATTCAGTTCATTTCACCGAGGGAAACTAAAATATGAGCCATCGTTAACACTCATCATGTGAACTATGACTCTGTGTTTTGAAAAAAGGCTCTTGTGACCATGGCATTATAATTTTACACACAGAAGAAACAAAAAGAAAGAAAAACAAGAGTGTGTCTCCCCTTGTCAAAACATATAACATGTTCAGATTCAATGAACAAATGCAACGAACAGTTCACGGATCTAAGGGGCTAAGGCTCTACCAAAGACTATCCTCGTGCACTTCTTTATGCGAACCTAACAACAACCCAAAGACACGCACATACCCTTCCTTCTAAATCTGCATAATAAGCTTCAATTGTGTTATTTGTCTTTCAGAAACGCCTTCGCTTGTTGTTCGCCTGTTTCCTTCGCCTGGGTCCTTGCGCGCTCGCCTTTCGCAACATCCGAGAAAGGTGCCGCGTAGAGCGCGCCGGCGTCAAAGAGCAGTTGGAACTCAGCCTCGGAGACCTGAGAAAAGCGCCATCCCGGGGCTTCCAATCGGTAGCCGCCCACCGATTAACACATGGAGCCTGACAGGAGGGGCCTGGCTTGGACCAGTAAATCCTTTTAAAACGGACCGGGTCCCGAACGTCAGGTTCCATGTGTTAGTCGGTGGGAGGGTAACCAGCTTGGAAACTGGTAATGCCGAAGGCTTTCCCACACTGGCTCGCCTGGAAGCACTGGGCCGTGCTTTGGGGGGTGTCCAAATCTATAAGCCTCTGGGTGGGTGTAGGATAGTTGAAAGGAACCGCCGTTTTGTTTGTGGTCCAGTCTTGTGAAACACCCATTTGGAGCCTTAGCAAGCTTGAACCAGTGCAGCCTCACGACTATGGAATATTCGGGACGGGTGTTTCAACCGCTTTCAGTGATCCGGTTGGCGATGCTGTTGTTTTCTAAAAGTGGCCAGTCTAGGAAAACCAGGGCGGTGTGTTATTTGAAAAGGAACAATTCAGTTTGACAGTACTATACTACTTGAATTGTGCACCGTGATGTACTGTTAACTGTCTCCTACAAATCAAACTCAGCAAGTACTAGATGACCTTTTAGTGGCCCAAACCACTAGTCCTAAGGCTCCCCAGCAAATCTCAAAAGCGCACGGGTTTCAAGTTGATTGCGCACCATCCCCGTTAGGTCGGTACTATAACTGAATATAAAACAACAGCTGGAATTGAGACATTCCCCTGAAGGGCCTGTCTCGTGGGTAAAGACGCTCGTTTTGGTCCTGGAAAGTAGGTCACAAGTTGCGCAGATTCCCGGAAGAGTGCCAGGGAGCCAACCGCAGAGCGTGACAGACATGTGGCGAGTGCAGCAACGCGACACGTTTGTTTCCTTGGCAGCCTTCAAAGGGAAATTGCTCCAAAACAACATAGATAGAGAGCAAGGCTGCCACAGGTCAGAGTAACTCAGCTAGCTGTTTGTGCAAAGAATTGAACCCATACAAATGGTAGGTTTCCTTTTGGTGGCCCTTCAAAACAAAGATGGTGCCTGCCCCATGTTAGGCCACCACTTGTACCCCAGGGTGGTCCTTGGTTGGCGGACCAGGTTGACATACCTGGAAATGGAATCCGAACCGCAATTTGCTTCAGCCCCCTGCGAAAAGAAATAACAAGTCCAATAGTGATAGATTCCCTTTCAAACCAACAGGGGAAAAAAAAAGAGAGAAAAAAACACATTTTCTGGAGCACGTGGAAACTAAACTGACATGAAAGTGGGTGCCAATTCACGTGTCCAACAAGCTACGGCAGGCTGAAAAGAACGATGACCCGCCTCACAGACTCCGATGCCGTCCGCGTTGGGTTCCTGTCTCGCCCAAAGTGCGGATCTTTGAGGCTCGGTATCCTTTCTAGGTCCTCCAGATTTGGAGCTTCGAATAAGTTGGTACCCGATATTTTTCCGTTTTTGTCTATTTTAGTAGGGGAACCCTCCCCCAAAAAAAGGGTAAAAGGGCACTACTGACTGGGGGACCTAGCTTTTGAGGGTTGGTACATGGGTGTGGCTCAAAACTAAACAGGAGGGGCAAACCGCAGGTTTTGGTACCCATGTTTCCACTTACCAGGCAACCCATTTTGGTACTGGTTTTTCGACAGCCACATACACAGAAACTCCGAAAGGTTTTCTCAAGCCGCCGCCTTGATGCGGGCGCCTGCTCTCTTGAAGCCCACCTTTTTTTTCTCGCTTGAATGGGACACTGTAGGAAAAAGGCACGGTTGTTGAGGTTGGTTGCGCACATCCTCGCTTGTCCCAATCGATTGAAATGGATGGTGTGCTTTTTTGCGCCACACATATTGTTCACACAGTGAACCCAGCATAAAACAAGGGCTTGACATGTCACCCTAAGTTAAAGGGCCCGACACCCAAAGAAACCAAGTGCTTTCGGCATCAAGCTTCCGTCCAAAGTGCATGGGGCACACACTGCCAACTGGTCGAAGGTGATTGAAACGGCAAAGCTTGAGGCTTGCTAACTTGGTTAACGTTGGAAGGGGAGCAAAAATCTAAATTTTAGCAATTAAGTGGGATTTCAACCACTGAACCACAATGGGAAAAATGTTTCCCAACGACAACCATGCTAAGGTGAGCATCTGAAACGTGTCTGATCGAGTTCCCAATGTTGGGATCCGCTGCAAAGGTCCCAGATGTGATGCTTTCTGAGGCATCTCGGTTGTGAAATCTGCTCCCCTGCGAAAAGTTTAACAAATAACGGTTTAATACGGAAAACCCGTTAGTTGGCAAAAAGTTAAAAAGTCCTAACATCCCTGGGCAAAATGCACCGAAGGTATAGTAGTAGTAGTAGTAGTAGTAGTAGTAGTCGTAGTAGTAGTAGTAGTAGTAGTAGTAGTAGTAGTAGTAGTACTACTAGTAGTAGTAGTAGTAGTAGTAGTAGTTTGGTTCTACAGTCGCAGAAACATGTTTCATGAACATCGGCGGGCTTGTTAACGCGCCTGTATACATGTCATTTTACTTTTCGATCTATTTATTTTACGGAGCACTAACGCCAACAGCAACATTGCTTCCTGTTCAATAGTTACACTTGGCAGGGATCGCAGCTGGCACAGGCAGCATTCAGTCCCGCGGAATAAATATAAATTTTGGAATCAAGCGCTTCCGGACATTTAGCTTGAAATGGAAACCAAGAGCGAAACAAATTCTCACACACCTATGTGACGTGTCTCCGATGGCATTACAAACATCGTGGGGAGCGCCTGCCAGTCGTTGCTCTGCGCTGCTTCCTGGCCGGCAGCAAGCCAAAGACTTGTTAGCTTTGATAAAAATGGGGGGGACCTGCATCTGTTTTGTCTTTTTTACCCTTTGGAAAACAGCCTGCAAAGGATATGCTCGGTCCAATCCGCTGTGAAGCAAGACGATGGCAAATTCAAGGACCTGGATCCCGAAAATTGCTGGCCCCTACCCACTCCGAATGCAAAACAAAACGCGCCCAAATCAGGGGCCTCAGTTGCTTGACCTTTAGCCAGGGACTTTCACACAATTCCTCTTCCGCGTTTGACTCACTTTACTCTTAGATCTGGGCCAAACGGCCAACACACAAGGATGGGAAGAGGCAATGCTGTTGCTGAGTCGCGACGTTCTTGGAGTCGAAGCTTGAAGAAGTTCCACCTGAATCCATGTTGGCTTGCCTCCTCTAGCACAAGAACTTTGAAGTGGTCCGCTGTTTTTGGCGGGCGGGGGCGCGACGGAGAAGTCACGCAGGCAGGGGCCTACGGAATTCTAGCGCATGCGTTGAGGGAGGGACCATGGCCTCTCCGTTAAAAGAAAACCATGGACTTCTTCACCACCACATGGTTTTTGGTTATGAGGCGGGCTCATGAGTTCATGACTTCAGAGCGTTTCACTTCCAGGGATGCGCCCATCTTAGACCCTCAGTGGTTGTCCTCAGCTCAGCCGGGGGCATGAGAGCAATGGATTGGCATACGCAAAACGAACTGGGGTCAAAATAGGTACCCCACTGGAACCCTGGCAAGAAACAACAGGGACTAAAACCTGCGGTCCCCATCCCCAGATTAAAACAGGATGCTTTCCAAAACATTCCTCTCCATGCTGGGGGTTGGTACACCGTAGGTTCAGGCTACTCAACGCCGTGACTCTGTGTTCGACATGTTCAATAAGACTATTGTTTCAACAACCTCCGGTTAAGTTATGGACACAACGAGGCGAAATTACCAACGCGCGTGAGCCCGCAACTTGCCGGCAAGATCAGGACGCAGGCAGGCTTTCATGAAAAGGGAAGGAGACGGCTTCCCTCAAGTGATTGCTTCGGAGGAGTCTTCTGCGTCATGCTGGGTGGGCAAACTTAGTTTCCCCTTCAGGGAACGAGGCTTGTTTGAACGCATGTTGCCCAACCCGTGTCTACCCACAGCATTCCTCAGCTGCCCTCGCCTCGAACCAGTCCTCTTGCGTGGCCTGCCGAACCGCCGTGTTCCGAAGCGAGACTCCGAGTTGCAACTAGGGGACAAGTTTTGCAGAGTATCTGGGCAAATGGCTGTGGGTCAAAACCAATGGTACCATTTTGGGGTAGGTGCACCACCCATTATTTTTAGTGGGGACTGGGATGTTCACAGGGGGTACGGGATTTTGACCCATGGCCAAATTACTATAACTCACAAACCTGGACTAAAGAACCTGCAGAGTTGCAATGTCAGGAACCGTCATTATGCGTGTTTTGTCCAGATTGCCCGTGACAATAGCACCACGAATCACAAATACACGTGTAGGTTCGGACACAGCCCGTAGTCCATGCCTCCACATCGACATTGTAAAGGAACGCCCCAAGACTTTTGCGCCTGTACGTTGGCATTTGCAGTGGGACCGGGTTCCTTAATTCAACAAGGTGGTTCGTGTCAGACTAAGTACATCTGCCGTGCTTTCAGTTCAAATGCGCAACGACCACAGCAGTCAAATCTAATTTCTAACCCAGGGTAGACACATGTGCGTGTTGCTTAAGGGAACATGGAAATGGAACCTAAAGAAGGAAACCTTCCATTTCAACGATTTCACCATTTGGGGCTGCCCTGTTGGTTCCTGGCCCCCGGGGCGGCACAACATGACCAGCCACTTTCCGAGCCCTCCTGAGGATTCACTTGGTCAGCACCATTTGGCTTTCACTTTCTCTCTTGGCGCCGTCTGCGCAGAACGCCGGCCGACGCGTGCAACCAAAGGCAGCCCAGCAACCTGGACTGGTTCCTCCAGTAGAGAGGTTAGAATAAGGGTACCTTTTTTTCTGTAGTCTATTTCAGTAGGGGAACCCTCCCCCAAAAAAGGGGAGAGAAAGGGCACTACTCGGGGACCTAGTGGAGCCATACCTTGCAAAGACTGCGACGCTTCCGGGCACTTGGCAGGAAGGCTTGCCTCTCGACCCAAAGGGCCTCAAGTGAAGGAGTGCCCAGAAATGATAAGTGAACGGTTGGCTTCCCTTAGCCGTTCCGAAAAGGGGTTGCCATATGAAGGACACACCCACATCTAGTCTGATACATACTGCTTAGGTGCCGCTGCCCAAACAACAATTGAGCTAATGTTAGCATGATTTATTGGCAAATGGAAACAGTCGTCTCCCTGGGAGTATCTTTTGTTCAGCGTAAAACTTGAAAATGGCGCCCATGTCCATCCTAACACTCAATGGCACCAAAAAACGAGAAATAGTTGGCCAGTTCCGTGGATTCGTCATGTTAGAGCAGAAACCAAAAGCCAGAATCATGTTTGTCCGAAAAAAGGGAACCCACCAAAACATAGTTACTTAGCGTCCCTGTGTTTGTTTCTTTTTCGCGAAAGCTGCTGCAAAAAGGGTACCCAAAAAACAGGTTGGCCAAATTCTGACAAAGGCTCATCGGCAACGGCGGCCTCTACCTCCGTCTCCTCGTTCTCGACACGTTCAGCCGCCTCCTGGCATTGATCACATGTAGCTGCGACATGAGATCCTGAAATGGGTGGGTTCCGTTGGATGTTACGAACTAATAAACCAAAAATAGTTTCCCCCCCGCCACCACGCACATCCCTGTCAGGTGGCATGTTTTTGCCCAAATGAGGTTCAACACGCTGGCAAATTCGATGATGCAACAAGAAGCTAAGAAACCCGGCTGTTCCGCTAAATAACCCCCCAACATACACATTGGCCAGAGAACTCCAAACTCCAGAATATAACCGAAAAAGGAGATCACTGCAAAGGATTGACCAAACTGCTGCAATGCGACAAGTGTACATCTGAACGATTCGGCGGCCAACTGTAGCCGTTCAAATGGTGTGTCACTAATCACCGGCGCAAATTACAGTATTTGGCCTTCTCAAACGCCCGGGCAGACCTAATCTATGTCTAGGTCCTCCAGTAGCAAGGTTAGAATAAGGGCACCCTTTTTCAGGACGTCTATTTTAGTAGGGGAACACCCTCCCGCAAAAAAGGGGAGAGAAGGGCACTACTTGGGGGCCCAGATGTGGCTTCCTCTTTTCCCAAAAGCCTGAGAAAGACACAACCAGTGCCAAAAATGAGT